AGAGAGAATGCTATCAAATAGACACTGTAAGTAACCCCCCAGTAGTTCTTTTCCAACTTTATCGTGCCCCTCTTTCCATACACACAACATTATAGCCCCCCCCATTTAATCTCCCCCCCCCCCCCCCCCCCCAACTTAAACTATGACTGGTCCATAACAGAGCCTGTTTTATTACTCTATCGGATCCGAGATTGTTAAATTTTTTTTTTTACGGTTAGAAAATAGGGAAGGACTATTCACTAACGGTTATTGTTAACTTTTTAAAATTTTAACCCTCTCACTCCAGATAAACCTAATGGTGGCCGAAAAAAAAGTCTGTAAAGTTTGTAAAATGTAAGAAGTATCTAGTAATATGCAAACGTTTTACCAAAGAGGTTTGATTTGAGAGGTAACACCATGAGATTTCGCCCTCAGATGTAAAAGTTAGGGTTATAATTAATCTCGCCACGAGATCGATTCTTACCTTATGAACAACGTTCTATGTTTATTTCAGATCATTTCGCGCCCCCTTGTTTGTCGCACTAACCTCTCTTCTCCGCAGAGGCTCTTGCCGGGTATCCATAAACACAAAGTAGCAAACCCGTGGGAGCGTCGCTCGCGCGCTTTCTTTTTTGCCTCCCCACGACACAAAAGAGGCCTCTGTGGTGGAAAGAGCGCCCTGATAAAAATTTTCTGCGGCATTGTTTTCACGGAAATCCCCCAATGCCACATTCTAGAATACACCTTGCCAGTGTCTAAAGTTTGCTGTTTTTCTTTTCTAAAGCTTTATACCAGAATACTGATAGATGGATGAACATTGAACTGAGTTGATAACGTGAATTTCCCACTTTAAAACGATTGAAAAGCTGGCAATGAAACGATTTATTCGCTCTGACGAACAGCTAGCGTTGGAAACGTTAGTCTTCTTCGCAGGCGCCGGAGTAACGTATTGTCACGCTACCCGTTCGCCGGCAATTTCATGACGTCATAAGTGGTACAAGGGGCGTGGTTCTACGTGGGTGGTTGAAGTGGGAATAGATCAACCTTGGGTACCTTAGATCTAATACGGGTGTTGCGGGCGCTTCATACGAAGGCTCAACCTTGGGTACCCATACTGTTAACTGTAACTCGAAAAAAACTGTTAACAACTTTGATGTAATTTTCCAATGTTTAATTGTGCCACGGTTCTTAAAAACTTGCTCTTTGCTTTAAAAGAAAACCGGAACTACTCTCTTGGCCAAGCCTGCAAGGAACTTAATTAACAACTATTTATCAAGGCCACGAATTGCTTTTTTTCGCATGCGTAGACGACCGGAGAAAACCTGAGATTTCGGGTGTCAAATGCGATGGTCTTAGATAATACGAGAAACTACAGCTCTGATAGAGACTAGTGTCCTCGGGCGTGTTCGCGTGTTTTACTCGCACGAATGCCACTACAAAGAAAAATTAAGGCAACTCTGTCCTCCCTAAAGATTAAGCTCAGAGCGGGATGGGGGGATTTTCATATGTGCAGAATCCGCAGGCGTGAAGGATCTAGATGGTATAGTCTTCGCTGGCAACTCCATGGGGAATATCCACAGTATTCAAGATATGGATAGCCAAGTTTACGGCCTCATCGCTCGTCTTAACCGGATCAGCAAAGTGAGTCAGCGTAGCGGCGCGAACCAGTCTGGAGGGAGGTTTCAAATCGCCTGGGGTACCAAGCAAACCACTGCCATGACCGAGGGGTGTGAAAATATCTCCGCCCAAGTGCAAAGGCTCGTGTGCGGTTTTGTTGAGTTCAACATAATTACGAAGGTTAATCATATGGAAATCATACGGCGGAGAGCTGGTACAAACGCCGACGGTGTTTTCGTAAACTGTTCTCCCTCCTCTCGATTATGATGCTTGCTCCAGTTTTGTCGTAAATGGTGCTAGTGAATTTCTAGGGTGTCTATTTCCGGCAAATTGACCTTTTGATCAAACACCAGCGGGAACGATCCATTGTCCAATGCCTCTTGTACCTCCTGGACGGTCGCGAAGTTTCCCAGAATCAATTGAGGAAGTTGTAAATTAGATATGGACGATTTGTTGCACAATACCTTTTAAACGC